TTTCGGTACCCTGGAAAAGAAAGTTGGCTGGTTACAATATAGTTTGAATGGTAGCAGATGTTTCCATTCCATGATGAGAATAGTCTAGTACACTTAGCATACAAGAGTATGAATTTTATATTACAAGATAGTTTGGTGGATGCCATCAGATGTTTCCGTTATGATGAGAGTGATCTAGTACACTTTGCATACAAGAGTATGAATTTTGTATTACAATATAGTTTGGTGGATGACATCAGATGTTTCCATTATGATGAGAGTGGTCTTGTACACTTTGCATATAAGAGTATGAATTTTGTGTTACAATATAGTTTGGATGACAACAAATGTTTCCATTTCATGATGAAAATGGTTTAGTACATTTTGCATATAAAAGTGTGACTTTTATATTACAATATAGTTTGAATGACATCAGATGTTTTCATTTTATGATGCTTTCGAGAGAATGAATTTTATATTACAAGAATATATGGAACTGGTGATATTCCAAGGATTGGCACAGGTGCACTTTATAGTTTCATTTTCATCAAGAACTAAAGTTCAAGCTCACAGCTTTTTTACCCGTCNGTTATTTTACCTGAAAAATTGTGATAATCGATAACTTTTTTGTTTCGAGATGAAAAATCAGATGTTTCAAAGAGTCAAAACTCAGGACCAACAAAATTTATCATTTTATATTGACAAAAGTAATTTTTCGGCAACAATTAGTAGACATTTGTATTTTTTGAGTTCGATTTATTTTTGCTCGCAATTATCGCAATATACTATGAAAAGCAGCGATAGTGAGTTTGAAAATGTGCTTTACGAAACTCCGAATGCTGCTACAGTATACTTACGGCCTGAGAGGTCATAATCATAGATCATTTCTTCAAAGGAAAAATGTTGGTTATAGAGTGAAGAAATCAGAAGTCTTCAATAGCGAGCAGATCAACAAATTCATTAGGGAAGCACAAATTCCTTCTTTCCAAGCTCAAATATTATGGATGTTCAGCCAGTGTCATAAATTGTTTGAATTATTATTTGAACAACCGATATCGAAAGGTCCATGTTGATGATGGAAGTTCATCCCTTGAAAGTGTAATATCAGGAGTACCTCAAGGTTCAATTCTTGGTCCTCTCCTATTTTTGTCATACACTGCCGATATTGATCATTGTCACATACAAGCATATGCCGATGACATCCAGTTATATCATAGAATCAGATCTGATGATATCTTAGCGTACCAAAATCAAATAAATGATGAAATTGAAGTTATAAACACTCTGTCGAACAAACACAATTTGAAGGTGAATCCTGGCAAATGCCATGTCATGTTCTTCGGCAATATAAACCAAAGGAAATATGTTAAAGATCATATGAAACTCAAGATAGGTGACCAAATACTCAAATCGGTTGACTCAAAACAGCGCTGGTTGTTATGGATCACGAATGTTTTATTTTTGAGCTCTAGTTTCAACTACTTGCTTGGCAGTGAAATCTGCAGTGCAGGACAGAAGACAAATATGATTCGGCGGTTGATGTAGGAGCTTGGTTTTTTAACTCACCGCCTTTGGGAGCCTAGTCTATCATTGCCATTCGCGGATTGAGACTCCTTTTCTAGACTTCGTAAGGAAAAACGACGCCGTCTACTTCTTCCAGAAATGTATAATCATAATTTTCAATACTTTGTTCATCTCTCATTTTTTATATTTGAAATCTGTTAACATTCTTTATATATTCGAAGACTCAATCTCCAATAATCAAAAATAAACATTGCCAACCATATTTAGACAAATATTGTCTCACTTACCAGATGTATCTATAGTTCTAACATAGTAAACACTGTGAGAATCAGATTCAGCGATGTATAGATCACCATTGGAAGCGAAGGTCAACGCCAGAACAGTACCCAGTATATCGTCGTTGTTTGTGCTGTTGTCTTCCCTGTGGCAATGTAGAGGCGTTCCCGCTACCACTTTGATTTTCAGATCTGCCGTTAACTTCAAGATTAATCTGTCGTCCACGAAATGAAGGGAACCGTCCAAAGGACTCAAGGCTAGACCTGTCGGCCATTGAAGTTGCGCCTGAAACAAATGAAGATAAAATAGTTCATTTGTTTTCATAATAAATCACCGTAATCAAGTCTCAAACACTGTATTCAACAGATTTGGCACCCTGCAACTTTTTCCTGTTTCCATGAAAGGGTGGCGTTCATGACGATTGAGAAAATGAAAACCAAATCGTTGAGAAAGGTCATTCATAGTTTTCAGTGAAGGCAAACTGAAATTATGTGAAATGAAAAGTACAGTTTAATCAACAAGTTCAAAAACATGGATAATAGAGATGAAGGCCCTAAAAATATGAGCGATGGCTCATTTGATTCGGAATCAGCTCTAGAAAAATGTTTTTGACGGATTTTGGTGCAGGTAAAAAATTGCAATTAATATTCAACTGAATGTTCATATAAAATGATAATGTAGAATTTCAACAACCAAAAAACAAATCAATTCAAAGAACTAAGATTATAAAAAAAAGGAAAGAAAAAAAATACATCAAAGGTGCTGCTTCGTTCCCTCCTGTTTATAAAAGAGGACATATGCCTCATTGCTCACATGTGATTTTGGCGAAATTGGGAACACGTTGATTCATGCCACGTGCCACTATATGGGTGTTTGCAATATGCTGTGTAATGTCCGTTGTTAGTAGTCCCACTGTGATTTGAAAGTGCATATAGATTATAACGACAACGAGCCACATTGTCTGCTGCATAACTGCTCATATCTAATCCATAACAATTGAATAACTTTTTGAAAAATGGTGATATAACATTTTTTTTCTACGGGACTCGATTCATTGAAGTGTTGAGAAGATACTAGATTTTTTTCAAATTTTTAAAATGACATTTTATGTTATTAAAACATTTTTTACCTGCACCAAAATCCTTCAAAAACATTTTTTTAGAGGTGATTCCGAATCGAATGAGCTCATATTTTTAGGACCTTTATCTCTATTTTTCATGTTTTTGAACTTGTTGATTAGACCAGTAGACAACGAGTGAAGTATTCATCTATTTACTCGTATATCAAATGCAGCTCTACTGCTATCTCGATTTCCCGACTGCATGAACCACTTGCCACCACCGGCCACCGTCAAAGAGAAACAAGAGAAACCGACACGCACGGCTGCTGTTATCCAATTAAAAACTTGCAGGGCCACTATCCTCCCCCGACCAACCGACTCCCTTCGCTGAACCTAATTAAAACCGGCGCTTAAACAATAATTACCTGGGCGGCCTCGATGGCCCCTCTGCAAGGAATGGGTATCCAGTGATTGTGATGTCCGTGATTGCCGATCAGCGTGTGGATGATGCCCTTCGTGTCCACCGCCCTTATGTTTGTTCCGTCGGCGATGTACATGGTGCCGTCGACTGATATGGCAAGTCCTTTGGGATGGGCCAAACGGGCGTATTTAGCAGGACCCTCGTCCCCGCAGGCACTGTCGTCTCCGGGGATGCAGCGTTCGCCGTTTCCTACTACCTGAAATGCGAAAATTTGGAAATGAAATTGTTTGATTTTTAGCAATATTCACGCACCAATTCAAGTATTTTCTCATCGCAAGATTTTTACTGAAGTTAATAAAATCGCAGCACATGTTTCACTATATAATAGCTTCCTCAGGCGTGCTTATTCCAACTCATTACGATAACGCCCGAGGAAGCTATTTTATAGTGAAACACCATATAATAGCTTCCTTAGGCGTGCTAATACTAACGTAATATGAATACGCTCAAGGAAGCTATTTTATAGCGAAAAACTATATTATAGCTTCCTCAGGTGTGCTCATACTAACGTAGTATGAATACGCTCGAGAAAGCTATTTTATAGCGAAAAACTACATAATAGCTTCCTCAGGCGTGCTCATAATAACTCGGTATAAATATGCTCGAGGAAGCTATTTTATAGTAAAACACGTATTGAGACTGACTTAGTTAATATGAATACGCCCAAAGAAGCTTGTATGAAGTGAAACATGTGTTGATACTAACTAATTCTGTATGAATACGCTTGAAATGCGGAATTGTGAATGACATATTCGGATATTCAGAAATATTCACTGACCAATTCAAGTGATACCTCAACTTCTGAACAGTTTACGAAACCGCAACACGTGTTTCGCTTCACAATAGCTTCCTTAGGCGTGTTCGTAATAACTCAGTATGAAAACGAACGAAGAAGCTATCGTATGGCGAAACAGGTCTAGATGTCAACTGAGTCAGTATGAATATGCTCGAGAAAGCTTTTGTGACATGAAACAAGCGTTGATACAAACTCAGCAAGTAGAAAAACTCCTGAAGAAGCTTTTGTCTAGTGAAACACGTGTTGATACTAACTCAGTTGATATGAAAAATCGAAAATGAAATTGTTGGATATTCAGAATTATTCGCCAACCAATTCAAGAAATTTCTCATTGACAGTTTTTTACTGAACAGTTGACGGAATCGCAACACATTTATTAATTTATTTATACCCTGTTCTACAGGTTACACCCAAATACACAACAGGGATATGAGTCAAATTACAATACAATACAATTACAATAAGTTGTGAGGTAAAAACAGCACATGTTTTATTATGCAATAGTTTCCTCAGGCGTGTTCAAACTAACTTAATATAAATACGCCCAAGGATGAAAAGTATTGATACTATCTCAGTCAGTATGAATATGCCCGATATTCTAAAAATTGAAAATGAAATTTTCGGATATTCAGAAATATCTATCCACTAATTGAAGTAATTCTTCATTGCGAGATTTCCACTAAACAGTTAACAAAATCACAACACGTGATTTTTCATGCAGTAGCTTCCTCAGACGTGTCTATAATGAATCAGTTTGAATACCCGCGAGAAAGCTATTGTATAGGGAAACACGTTTTGATAATAAGTTAGTGTGAATACGCCTGAGGAAGCTTTTATATAGTGAAACACGTGTTGACACTACTCAGCATGAATTCACCAAAGCTATTGTATTGTGAATCACTCGTTGATAATAACCGAGCTAGTAAAAAACGTGTTGATACTAACTTAGTTAGCTTTGATACGCCCGATAAAGCTATTGTATAGCGAAATACGTATTGGTACTAACTGAGCTAGTATGAATATGCTCAAAGAAGCTTTTGTATAGTAAAACACGTGTTGGTACTAGCTCAGTCAGTATGAATACATTCAAGGAAGCTATTATATAGGAAAACACGTGTTGATACCAACGAAGCTAGTATAAATAAGCCTGAAGTTTTCGTTAAGTGAATCACATGTTGATAATATCTCAGTTAGTATGAATATGCCCACAAATTCAAGTAATTCATCATTGCCAGATTTCCACTGAACAGTCAACAGAATAACAGGAGTGTTTCACTATATAATAGCTTCCTTAGGCGTGCTCGTATTAACTTGGTATGAATACGCCCGAGGAAGCTATTGTACGGTGAAACACAAATTGATACCAACTCAGTTGGTATGAATACGCACCAAAAAGCTATATAGTGAAACTCATGTTGATGCTAACTCAGTTGGTATGCATGCGCCTAAAATGTGAAAAATTCGAAATGAAACTGTTAGATATTCCAACCAAATTAAGTAATACCTCATTGCGAGATTTTACCTGTAAAGTTCACAAAACGGCAACACGCGTTTCACTATACAATAGCTCCATCAGGCGTTATCATACTAACTACGTTTGAATACGCCTGAGGAAGCTATTGTATAGTGAAACAGGTGTTGCTTCTAACTCAGTTAGTGTAAATACGCCCAAGGAAGCTATTGTATAGGAAAACTAGTGTTGACACTAACTAAGCTAGTATAAAAACGCCGGAGGAATCTACTGTATAGTGGAACATGCGTTTGTATTTAAAAACTTGTCTGTACTTAGTTCATTCATCTCGATGATAACAGATTTCATTTAGATTTCATTTAGTTTGACTGAGTTTTGCCGGTTTATTTCTAAAACTGTTTTAGTGTCAACTGATTGTAGTAATAAAGCATAAATCCGCTGGTATTTTTCAGAGGCTCAACATTTCTCTCTGTTTTTCTGAAACGTTTTGTGAAGTATTCATGACGTTCCAACACTTACCGGTTCACTGTTGATATTGGGATCTTGGACTGGTTCTAAGGAAAGCACCCTGAGAATTTGGTGTTTTTCTGGATCTGAGATGTAGAGATGTCCATCAGCAGGAGACATGGTCAAATAGTACTGGTAGGCTACTTGAGTAGCCCTGAAAGAAAAAAAAATTGTTAATTGTTGTTCCTTTCATATATTTTTTCTGTGAATGATATCTGATTCTGATTTCCCAAATTGAAGATGATTTGTCACACGACTATTTTGATCCACGATTCAATTTAGAAGTGATCGATGGTGAATTGGAGTTTTTTAAATAGCCAGATATAAATGTTGTTCAGGTACCTGCTCCAATAAAAAGTATAAGGTTAACTGAAAAGAGATTTCCTTGACTGAGTGATGAAGGTATGCAACTAAGCACTGATTAAATATGAATCAACGAGAAGCATCCCCACTGAAACTAATGAAAGTAGTTGGTACCGGTAAATAAAAGTTTATTAGGTTTATTCTTCAAAATTTTCTCCCACTATTTCGAATTAAACGTCAATTTGAGTGACATTAAGTGGTTTCTGATGCCTTTTGATACCCTAATTGTAAAATTATACAAATTAATATTATGAATGATGACTTTCAAGTTACAAAATAGAACTGGCCAATACTTGAAGGAAATTGTCATCGCCCGCGACATGCACCCCACACTCAAAAACGCATACATCTTACCTTAATTGCAGTACAGTATAAACATTTCCCTCGGGTGTGATTCGGCGAACCAAATTGAAATCGCCCACGTAAATGCTGCCATCGGGTCCCGTGGCCAACGATCCCGGTGTTAACAACTTCGCGTCTTTGGCAGGCCCGCCGCATTGTCCCGGGCAATTCAGCGATCTCTGGAGGCCGGTTCCCATGATGACCCGCACCATGCGGGGGTATTGTTTGAAATGCAGAGTCGAGCCGTCGCCTTTTTGTAAAATACCTGGAATGTTGGTCGGTTTTTTGTAATTTTCTTGGTGTTGTTCATGAATTGCATTCATTTTTTCACTCATATTCAATTCAATTCAATTCAGTTTATTTATCCGAAAAACGATGCATGCTTTGAGAATTTCCGTTTACATGATACTATCCATTTATTATTTGATGTCAGAAGTTGAAAGTGATCAATACATTAAAAAAAGTACAGTAGCATAGATAAAAAAAGCCAAACGACAAATATTTAAAAATGTTGGTAACACAAATTGAATCACGACTGTCTACTAACAGTGACCCTTAAATGAATAATTACTTGTTTCGAATGAATGAATGAATGAATGAGTTGTTTTCAATGATTTCATCAACTCAGTTCTTCACTGCAAGTTGATCTTCATAAGAAACGTTTTTAGGAACACATTCAGTATATTATGTCATAAATCAATTCATTATCATTATGATAATTGATTTTGGATTATTACTGACACCAAAGTGAGATTGGATAACAGTAAGAAAGAAAAAATAACACAACATATAACACAGCTTGAAAAGAAACAGTAAAATGCGGTCAGAAATGAAACCGTTTTAAAAAAATTACGATATTATAAATAAATACATATTGTATGAATATATTTAGGAAGGTAAACAAGTCATTCTTGGCATATATGAGTTCTTATTGAATAAAAACATCTTCCGAAAATAAATAAGCCAAAACATTTGAAGGACTTGAGACCTATCAGTATATTGCCTACACTTTCAAAAATATTGGAAAAAAGTTTAAACGTACAAATAAGAGAGTATCTAGAATACCATAATCTTCTACCAGATAATCAATCCGGATTTCGACCCAATCACAGTTGCACTTCAGCACTTCTTAAAGTTACAGATGACTTATTTACTGCTCTTGACAATAACAACTCGGCTACTTTTGTCTTACTGGATTATTTGAAGGCGTTTGATCGCATCAACCATCAACTACTATTAGCAATCTTACACTTTAATGGCTTCACCAATAGTGCAACAATGTTGATCAGAAGTTACTTAACAGATCGTATTCAGCTAGTTAAATCTGGGGATAAATGTTCTATACCACTAAGTCTCTCGAGCGGTGTCCCTCAAGGTTCCATTTTGGGACCTTTATTATTCATGATGTATACTGCAAATCTGTCAGCATGTCTATCTCATTGTCAATCTCATTACTATGCAGATGACACACAAATTTATTACACATTTCATCCAGAAAACGTAAATGAGGCATGCTCTATTCTCAATGAAGACCTTAATAGATTGAATAACATATCAAAGAATCACTGTCTGCTAATCAATCCTGTCAAGTCCAAGTTATTAATTTTTGGTAACAGGAAAAACAAGAATAAACTTGATCAAATTAACATCAAAATTGGTACAGAAGACATTGAAGCCGTGAGCTCAACAAGAAACTTAGGTGTAGTTCTGGACACAGAGTTGAGGTTCAGTGCACATGTAACGAAATGCATCAAAAATGCATATTGTAACCTCAAACTGGTATCAAATTTTTCAAAAATTTCAGATGTTAAAACAAAAAAGATATTGTGTGAAACCTTAGTGTTGAGCCACTTTAACTTTGCAAATATGATGTATTACTCTAGTTTAACCAATCACGATCAAAATCGTATTCAGATTGTTCAAAATGCATGTGCCCGGTTCATTTATGGAATAAGGAAACGTAATTCAATTTCTCATAAAATTAAAGAATCGAATTGGTTAACTATGAAACAAAGATGGTTACTACAGACAAGTTGTTTTATACATAATGTAATTCAAACGAAAGTACCTATTTACTTATACAACAAACTTTTATTCAGACACGACGTTCACGCATTTCATACCAGATATCGATACCGCCTTACCCCTCCAATACACCATACTTCACTATACCAAAGATCGTTTCTTTATAATGTAACAAAGATCTATAATGCCATTCCTGACTCGTTAAAAACCATGAATAAATCTGTTTTCAAGTACTCACTGAGAAACATGTTATTTGAGGATAGACTTCAAATATAAGTGTTGTGCCACGAAAGCAAGAGTTAAAAGTCTGATCAATAATAATTGATGTGCTTTCTGCCTTCAAGCCTCTCCCTTTGTTTTCTTGTTTTGTTTTTATCACTCCCTTTGGAACCTTCATGATCTAATTACTGTTAGCACCCTAACATTAATCTGATTNCAAGTAAGTTTTTTCCATTTACAGAAGAATGAATGAGGTATATCATGTATTCATTATGAAAAGTCAAGCTTTCATTATTTTTTTTGAGGAACCGCAAAGTTTTTGGAATTTTTCTTTATTGTGAATAATGAGAACCTACAAATTCTACAGCATCTCAAGAAGAAGTGAAACTCGAAATGACTGTATCATTGTTTTATGTGATGATTAAGTTGCAGGAGAAACAACTTTTCTTGTTGTTTTTGCCGCTAATTGGTAATAAGTGCAATTTCGGATTTTTTTCAATTACGAATGAAAATTAATGATAGTATTTGAAAAGTGTTCATGTTATTACCGATCTGATAGTGGTACACTTACTGACTGAAAACTTACTGAACTAAAAAATGTAATCTCACTACATCTGTATGAAGTTCTTCAATCATCATCAATTACATATCGAATTTTTGGCGAAAGCACAAGTTTCAATTTATGGCGAAGGTAGAGGTAACTATTTTGGTGGATACACATTCAAAAGCGCAGCCTGGACGAGAACTCAATTGTGATAGAAGGAATTCGTTGAAATATTATTACACAAACTGACGAAAATTCACTAATCTAAAAAAATTAATACCACTAGACCTGTATAAATTATGTTTAATCATATGTCGAATTTTTGGCGAAATCACCAGTTTCAATTTTTGGCGAAGGTAGAGGTTAACATTTCAGTGGATACACATTCAAAAGTACAGCTTGGATGAAAACTCAATTGTGATAGAAGGATTTCGCTGAAATATTATTACACTAACTGACTGAAAATTCACTAATCTGAAAAATGTAATACCACTACACCTGTACAAAGCTCTCCAACCATTATCAATTACATGTCGATTTTTGGCGAAAGCACTCGTTTCAATTTTTGGCGAAGGTAGAGGTTAACGTTTTAGTGGATGCACTTTCAAAAGTGCAGCTTAGATGAAAACTCAATTATGATAGGAGTTCGCTAAAATATTATTTCCTAACTGACTGAAAATTCTTTCATTATTCTGAAAAATGTAATATCACTATATCTATATGAATTATGTTTAATCATGTGTCGAATTTTTGGCGAAATCACCAGTTTCAATTTTTGGCGAAGGTAGAGGTTATCATTTTAGTAGATGTACATTCAAAAGTGCAGCTTAGATGAAAACTAAATTGTGATAGGAGTTCGCTAAAATATTATTCCACTAACTGACTGAAAATTCACTAATCTGAAAAATGTAATACCACTACCTGTATAAATTATGTTTAATATGTCGAATTTTTGGCGAAATCACCTGTTTCAATTTTTGGCGAAGGTAGAGGTTAACATTTTAGTGGATACACATTCAAAAGTGCAGCTTGAATGAAAACTCAATTGTGATAGGAGTTCGCTAAAATATTATTTTACTTACTGACTGAAAATTCACTAATCTGAAAAACGTTATAGCAGTATAAAGGTCTACAATTATATTTTATCATATTTCGAATTTTTGGCGAAAGTACCAGTTTAAATTTTTTGATACATTTAAAAGCGCAGTTGGAAGAAAACTGAATTGTGATAGAAGAAATTCGCTGGAATATTATCACACTAAGTGACTGAAAATGAACTGAACTAAAAAAATGTAATCCCACTACACCTTTATGAAAGTTCTCCAATCACGTCAAATTTTTGGCGAAAGCACTCGTTTCAATTTTTGGCGAAGGTAGAGGTTAACATTTTAGTGGATACACATTCAAAAGTGCAGCTTGGATGAAAACTCAATTGTGATAAAAGGATTTCGCTGAAATATCAATCAACTAACCGAGTAAAAATGTCCTGATCTACAAAATGTAATACCACTACACCTGTACAAAGCTCTTTAACCATTAGCAATTTCATGTCGAATTTTTGGCGAAAGCACCAGTTTATATTTTTGGCGGAAGCGTAAGTTATATTTTTTTAACGAAGGTAGAGGTTAAAATTTTGATGGATAAACATTCAAAAGTGTAGTCTGGGCAAAAACTACTTGTCTCAGTACCACGAAAATAAATGTTTTGTTTGAAGTGAAAATATATACATTCAGAATTTCAGTTTGTTTACCTTCGTGAAAGTTGTAATGGTGGTGAATATCCAATCCCCAGCCTCCAATATCCGATATGTCGACATCGAATCCTTTGATGTCAGTCGTTTGCGTCTCCCAAACAGGCTCCAAGCAGGTGCTGTGTTGGTAACCGATCGAGACTTTCGCTTGAACGATACCGTAGACTTTCTGTTTGTAAATATTCCGCTTACTCCAGGCAAAAGTATGGGTCAGGTTAGGATCAGCTTCATATGTTTTCGTGTGCAGAGAACCTTCCACTTCCACCCTATTGGAAAACAATAATTTTTACGGAATTTTCTTTTTTTTATAAGCCGCAGTAATCCATTGTTGTCGTGATTGAAAAAACCCAACAGAAAAGATTGTGAAGAATCTTGGCCTAACAAAATAGTACTGTCATATTAGAAAAATTACTTGTCTGTTTTCCAAAAATTGTATATTAACTATAAATCTATCTTGATTTTTTTTAATGGATTATGGAAAATATTATCGCTAAAGTCCTATTCAAAGATTTCAGTTCGAACGGGAAAGTCAATTGTTAACAATGAGATTAGATGGGAATGACAATATTTGGTTAAAAATAGAACTTCTTCTTCTTCTCCTTTTTTTATGGTCTTTGCTTTCCTTCGGCGCAGTAGACCATAAAAAAATTAGAACTGGTAGAAGTTAAATTATTTAATTCAATACTATTTTGTTTTTGAAATATTTTATGTTTGGCCTTCCTTGGGAAATGATACTTCGAATCTGTGTATTATATTTCTGAGTGAGATGGATAATAATAATATAATAATGATAATAGTTCATTCATTGGTAAAACATAGAACAATCATGAAAATAAAAAATAATATGGGTCAAATATAGTATGATCGATATAAAATAGAATAAAATTAACCTTTATATTTCACTGAATAAAATAAACACAATAAACATCTGAAACTTTTGAAAATGAAATGAAATTAACATTTATAACTCACAGTTTTGTATGAATAAAAATTACAATAAATTAGGACAATAAAGTGTCACTTAATGAAATACACTCAATATGTAATAAAAACAACAAACATCTGACAGTACAATCTTTATATAAATAAAAGCATTCAACATTTATTTACTCTTCTATAATTTTACGTATTTCCTTTCTTTCTATTTCTTTCAGGAGTGTTTTCAAATGTTTAATGAATTTTTTGAGAGATGGTTCAATTTTCAAAGTGCCCAGCAGGTAATTGAACAATGTCGGGGCTATGTAACTGAAACTTTTTCGTTCGACTGCTTTGTTAATTTTTGGAATAGCATACCTATTTTTCTGTGTCGTAATGTAGAAATGGGTAAGTACTTTTGATTTTTCTCTGCTCAAAAATTGTTTAATACATAGTTGTACGGTACAGAGTTGTCTTAGGTACATCACTTGTGTTTCAGAGTAAAGAAAATCGCTAGAATATCTTGGATCTTTCCGTAGAATTATTTTGAGGAATCTTTTTTGAGGAACTTCTATCAAATTCAGGTAAGTTCGTAATTTTTTTCACAAGTTCAATTTTCAAATCTTGTTAAACGGTTAAGTTATAATGGGGAGAATAAGTTTCAAGAACACCGAACGGTAAGTAACGTGTATTTTCATTCTACAACGAGAGTAGTCTACTTACTGTCGAACCAGTTTTTAAAAATTTTCAATTCATCTTCTGCTTTGACTTTAAGAACATACCGTGTATCATATTAGTATTTGTCCAGCTTTTTTTTTGTAGAAAGAGTTTATCCATATATAAAGTAAATAACACAGGTCCTAGTACCGTCTCTTGAGGTACTCTGTACATTTCTTGGGTGCTTGTTATATTTCCGATTTTTTACTTTTTGTTTTCTGTTACTGAAATAACATTTGAATGAATTGTAGAATGCACCTTTGATTCCAATGTCACCGGTATCAATAGATAGTTGATTACCTACTTCGGGAATTGTAAAACCCAATTATCTTGACAAAAATGCATTTATGGACCTATATTTTTATGAACATGGCCTCAGACTTCTCAGCAATTAGGAAACACCCTGCATAACTGATGAAAATCTGAATGTGAAATAAAAATGAAAAGGATTAACTGGAGAGACACTGAATATGTGTCCTTGAATTCTGAATGGCACCTCTCAATAACTCCAAAACTATGAATTTTACTTCCAGGTACAATTACAGAATTTCACAGAGAAACGTTTCATTGGCAGTGGGGTCCCAGAAGGTTCCGTTTTGGGGCCGGTGCTGTTTCTCATTTATGTCAATGACTTAGTCCATGTTTCGCTGACGAGACCACTATCCTCTGCATAAGAAGGGTAAGATATTGGTGTGATTTCAATATTTCATCATTCAACATCGACAAAAAAAATGTAAAAATTGAAAATTTGGAGAAAAACAAATTCTCAAGGCTCTTCATTGATGAAAATTTAAAATTTGATTCCCATGTCGACTACTTATGTAAAAGACTAGCAGCAGGATGTCATGCAGTGAGAGTTTCTGCAAGAGAGTTAGACACTACTATCACAAGATCAGTTTTTGCACAAATTGAGTCCTTTTTTACGTTATGAAATTTGTTTGTGGAAAAATTGTGAACAATTTTTATTTCAATATGGTATTCTCTCTACAAGAAAGATCCATTAGATATTTATGCAAGGCTAGCTACAGGGATTTATGCCGCCCATTATTTGTGAAGCTACAAATTCTGAACTCAGCATATCTTTTTATTTTGGAAACAGTGTGAGTATCCACAAAAAATATAAAAATCAATTTAATACCACCTCAACTTATAGTACCCGTCAGTCTTACTTAATTTCTTTTCCAGCACCTACTCTAGCCCTTACACAAAAATCTATTATTAGAGAAGTTATTTAATCACTTTCCCATCAATTTAAGGCAAATATATAATGAAAAAAAATTCAGAAAGAAAGTAGAACAATTTCTTGTTGGGAGGCCCTATTATAGTGTGGATGAATTCTACCAAGACTCTATCAAGTATTTGGCATGTAGGTTTGTGTGAACAAGTTATTGACAACACGAAATGGCTATCAATGTTCCTTACATAGCATTATATATTTACATTTACTCAATATTCATATATTCATGTACTTATATTTGTATTTGTTCAGCTGGGCTTAATATTGTTCTGTCCATATACGCTGCTCTTGTCTCTGAGCATTATTTTATAGTTTATAGTTGTTAATTTAATGTCCCATATACCAGACTTTGCCAATAAGATATTCAGGTCTTGGGTAATAAAGCATGTTTTGATTCGATTTGATAATAAAAACAGACTAACGCTTATGAAAAGAAAATTTGGATGAATCCTCAAGACAAATTTTTCAATTGATAATACTGATTTCGAAAACCATTTTGATTTTAAGTATGTGAAGAGTCATAAATATGAAAAATATCAATATTTTGTAGCCTGCCTCAATAATTTTTTTTATATTTTTCCTTAACATTTTCAAATACTCTTCACTCTCCTATCTATCCTGCATCCAAACTAATACAAAACAGAATTCAAACCTCCTCTCACCTGATATAAACATGAGTTAAACTCTCAGGAATCGTAGGCCCCGTCAGCTTCATATAAATAGTACTCAGATACCCCGTTGCCTGCGAACTCTGATACAGAATGTGCAAGTCCGACCCTGGAATCGCTATCGACTCCTGCACGATTTGCGTCTCTGCGAAGACGACGCTCTTTCCCTGCATGCCGCCCACAGCTTCCGGCAGCCATGTTCCCGTTATGATGGGGTTGAGGATGTCGGGGTCGTGGTCGTCACATGTGTTGGGGAGCCCCCCATCGGGGCCGAAGAAGCTCCGGGATACGCCGGGGAAGTTCAGAGCCGGATTCATGGCCAAAAAGCTGTGAAAATAAAGAGTTGTGATTTTCTATGGCTTTTTTGTAAGAAAAGTTAATCATAGTTTCCCGCAGGGATCAGTAATTGGACCAGTTCCATTTCTATCTCATGATTTAGACTGAAAGAAAGGATTGCATTATTTGCTGATGATGCCAAAAAAGCACAGTGACTGAAAATTCCTGCTGAAATAAAGATTGTGTCCAAATTATCAGCTTGTAAGGTTTTCGTTTTCACTCACTGCGTATATTTTTGTTTTGAGGTGATCAACGCCCATGTAAATAATCATAAATGTTGTATATAGTTATTGGAATAATCTTGAGCTGACTCGTTCAACGTTCATTTTGAAAGCCCTGTATTGGTAAATTGTCAAAGAACACCTATACAGTCGCAAATGATTCTGTGTTGACAAATTTACCTTTCCGCATTCCATCTCTCTTTTCTTCTAATAAACTGTTAGACTTTGTTTAGTTCCGATAGTCTCTATCGTGTGAACTCTATGAATATCCCACAAATTTGACAGAATTATTTCTGAGAACGACAAGAGTCGACAAGGTGAATTCAGATAGGAAGTACCGATCCGTTTTAATTAGAAGCGGATCATGTTATGTGATGTATAATGGCAGTACCCTTTTGTGTTTGATATTAAAAATATTGTCTTTCGGAGAATCTAGTTGTCGATTCATTTGCAGAAGAGAACCCTCTCGGTACCAGAGGTGAGTCCACTACTCCATTGTGTTTTTATTATTCCAAGAATGCCGCGAATATTCTTATAGGGTTTTTCTTTCCTACAAAAAATTTTCTCAACCTAATCCTGCATCCCGAAGGATTTGGAAACGTTAACCAGGGCCACAAGAGTGTTCCTATTCACTGATTCGGCTCCATTTATCCATTTGGGTGTTCTCTTTGACTCAAACAGAGGTATTTTCTACCATAGTCCGGATTTACCAATTCCTAGCGAGTGATAAGACGAAAAGAAAAATACAACCACTCCTCCTTTCTCACTGCTTGAGGACCTCATCTGCTCTACGGTTGTTACTTCTTTAGAATCAACGTTGGATGAAAGGCCAGTTATAGATAATAGAGTTCTTTCAGGATTATAGTTTTGATTCTATATTTAATTTCTTACTTTCAATATTTAACTATTTATATTTAACCATTCATAATTATTTATATAAATTTGCTATATCATCAATATTGAAGCCCATTTGAGGTATCAAAACTCACAAAAGCATCTTATTACCCATTAGAAAAAATTAATGAATTTTGCCCTATGTACACGCTTTTTCTTATATATTTATATATACTGGTATCCGCAAGTTGATCGTATGCTTTGTTATAATTGCATAATAGTACCGTACGACTTAATATTTATCTCATTAAATAATATGAAATTGGGTATGTCTTTCTTTTACTTCAGCTGTTGTATCTACTCTCTACCTTAGGTTTTTGATCTTTTCCAAATAAGACCTATAAAAAAGACAGTGGCGCCCTTATTGTATCCTTATTTTATTTAACAGAATAGCAGTAATGAATCCACTCCCATATGCCACCGACGAACAGCTGCCGGAGTTTCTTTGCCATGTTTTCTTTTTTGTAAAAAGACAAAACAGGGAAAAGGAATAACAAGCTAATGGACTAAAACACTCATTTAAGTACATATAACAAATCTAAGACGAATTCGTTAATGAAACTAATTCAGAAGTAATGGATTAATCCAACTTTCTCGTGGATAAAGTCATATTCATATAGGAATTTTTTCATCAATAAGCTCACATGAAATTGGACTTTGGCTCTTAATCAGACCAAAAATGATACAAAGGCTTGTCACTAATTGTTAGATCTCAGTAGTCACCATGAGGTCAGGATAGCAATTATTTTGTGAAATAATTTTGAAAAGATTTAGTTGAAAAAGATGTTCACTTTTCTATGTATCATTTTTATTTGAATTGAAGGGGTTATATTTTTAGGAGTGATTAATTTTTCGGGAAAGAAAGTATCAGATGGAGTAGTAGAAAGCCAAAAACTTTCTTTCCCAAAAAATCATTTTTATATTTCATGTCCGTGTACCAAATTTATTCAATCGAGGTTGCTAGTTATCGTAGTCTTATTCGGTTCGGTTCTGACTAGTCTGATAAAGTTTTATACTGTATGTACCACATGTATAAAATCTTTTAATGATGAATAAATTTCTATTCTATTCCATTCTATTCTTATACAGCATGAGAATCATGAGGAACTATAGGGTCTTCCAACAGGGACTTTCGAACTTTGATGATATCTCGCAAACCCTTTGTTTTATCTGAATTTGAAGATAGGAAGCGCTCAATGAAATATCCTATATATTCACTAGGAAAATATTCAGTATTTAATCACAGAATGGGAATTGGAAATTTCGAAAACACAACGAAACGTTCCAAATTACATTCTGGGTTCGATAGCAAATTTATATTATTTTATTGGAAAAGTGTTTTCTCCAAAGAGTACCTTTTTGATGAGTGTTTTAGGACGATTGGAATGAAATTATTCCTATATTTTCTACTCCAAAATTTCTTGAATTTTTTTCATGATTTTACCCTGGCAAACTTTGGAAAAATCAACAGATCTCATATTTGAAATCTGTTGATTTTTCCAAACCTCATATTTGAGATTTATAAGTGATGCGATTTCTATCTAATTTGGAAATAGGAAAACTCAATAATATACAACAATTGGAAAATTGAAAAAAAACCCAATTGAACAATTGTTTTGGATATTTCCCATATAAGTTTTACTTGCTTTCGGTACAAAACACCAATTTTGTTTGTATCTTCAATGTGATCAGTTAACTACACAGTTTCTAATGAATTTTAATGAACATTGAATATCAGCAATGAACTTTCATCATCATTATTAGTGATTCAATAAAAAAATCATAGTTTGTATTATCGAAACGAAAAAAATCATCTCTCGATTGAGTTAACGAAGAAAACAACAATTTCAGCACACTAAATTGAAGTTACACTTCATGTTCATCACATATTTTAGCATACCACTCACCTTGTTTTGACATGACCAACGTCTGCATCATCGCTGAGCTGCATATGCACAGGAGGAAGTACTATAATTTGATTCCATGGTACAAAAACAGTTATTGTCATCGGTTTGAAGGGTGATCTTTGGAACTGCAATGTGACTGCTCCACCACCATTAACTAATACATCAAACCTACGACAAAAGAATAATTATTATTGAAATACTTTTTGCATCCTATTTTTTTATATATACTAAAAAGTATGATATATAACACCTGGGCTTGTTATATAACAACAGCTTCCTTTTGAAGGTTACTACCAACTGAAAAAGTGGTAACCCAAAACTTTCTAGCCCATGTAATGTAATGTAGTATATAATATATTATATAATGAATAAAATAAGATAGTAGATAGGCAGATTATTCGAAACCTTCGTTTGAGAATAGAGTTGAACTACAAGGAAGTAGTGCTAGTTTGTTAGCAGAACCACAATATTGAAGAAGTAACCAATACAGCAATACTACAAACAGGAATCAGATCAGTATGATGATTGTATGGTATGGCATGGTAGAAAATGTCAAGCTTAAAAAAAACTTTGTTCGAATGAATACCCCGAAAAACTACTGTAGTAACTCAACCCTGGGTTGTTTTACTACAATTATTTTGAGAAATTCATTGAAAACAAATACTGAAGAACACTAGTGTTCAAAACTTCATTCATATTAGTATTTGTTGTCCAAAAATGCATATTGGTTGAACATAACTTTTTTCCAAAGAATAAAATAGTATGTATAGGGCTACTGAATGTCATTATGTACTGCGATCGATGCCATGAGAAGATTCAACTCATTCGTGACAAGAAGTCACAGTTTCATGAATGAACTGAGTGCTTCTTGTAGTGAAATACAGATTGATGCTGAAGTGGCAATGAGGCAAGTGTCTTATGTCGAAACGTCGGATGTCCATCATTGAAGATGACAGTGTTCAATGTAAGTAGAATTTCACCTCTTTCATATACTATACTGTGTAGCAATCCTGTGAATGTTATCTGATTCGATTCCACAACGAATATTTGGAATACAAACTGGATGAACAAAAATGTTTTTTTTGTATAATTCAGTGTTCAAATGAAAGTATTTGTTTTGAAAAATTTTTTTTTCAAGTATTTCAATGTTTATATATGTTTATATATGTAGTTGTTTGTAGAGGGCTTTTCTTCCAGTTTGTGTCTGAATATTAATTCTTCGTATGATCTACACATCTTTTTAAGGGGTCCATTTTCAAATTAAATACTTTCTTCCTTTTTTCGAAGATTTCCACGTTTCTTTTCTTCAGAAATAGAAAAAAATCAAAGTTTATATGAGTAGACAGTTTTTCATTTGCTGATTATTTTTATTTCTCAACTTCTTCGACACATGTTGGAGAAAGGGTTTCTATTTTGGCTACTGCCAAAGAAGTTGAGAAATAAAAAGAATTAGCAAAAGAAAAAACTGTGTATAAACTTGAATTCTGTCCTTTCCTCAAAACAGAAAAAAATTTCAGCTTCAGAAACGTTGAGACGAGTATTGTATAATTTCTTAGCTCTTTATTGATAAGCAAAAATGATAAATACGACAGAACATTCATTTTTGTGAAAAATACTTTGAATTTCCGCAGTAAACTGGAAAGTTGGCCCTTTCTACACGAATTCCCCGTTACAATTTTCATATATTTGAGATTGTGGAAGATGAAAATTCCCAAAAAAGTTCTACAAAAAATTATATTTTCCCACAGAAGGATAATTTTTTGAAAAATATCAATTTTGTTGCATCAATATTTTCATCTCCCCATTCAAAGAAATATCTGGGGATAAAAATGCACCAGCCCCATATTAATAATTACTCGCCAAAGGAAGCCATTGTCAACAATAATCATGCCATACGTCTTCTTGCCCCTAATTTATATTCATGGACTTTCCTCTCGCAGTTTATGTTGCGACTCGCTTCAGTTATACCCCTCTAAGCATTATTTACTTACGAAACGTTTATTTCCCTCCCGAGGTCGGCGAACGGCTACTATACGTTCTGGTTTCATAGCCGGGATTATATTTGCCGCCGTGTAATTTCATATATGGAATATTCAGAACGGTTGTTTTGGTAAAAAAGCTTCTATTGGACGAAGTATTATAATAATAGTGATACATTCATTTTCTCAAAGATGATAAAATATGTTCAAATTGAAAGGGAATATTTCAAGGAGAAATTAATTTCAGGGAGAAACAGTTTTCAGCCTTCTACTTCTCCATCTTGATACAAAAAATGTGGGTATTTTTCAAAGGGGGAAGGGCAGCAATCAATTTCGAAAATTTTGTGTAGGAATCCTATGAATAATATCTGATTCGATTCCATACGAATGTTTGGAATACAAGCGGATTAGAGAAATGGGAAAAAAAGTAACAGAAGATTCTGGTACTCATTGGCGAAGTCAAACTCAGAGATACTCAAACACAACCAACAAGTACCATTCCACATTGAATGCGAATATACAAAAAAAAAACAATTGATGATGATGGTAACACAACAAAAAAAAATAAACAAAATATCATTTGGAGATTATCCCTTGAAGAATTGATGCATCAAATTGAAGTGTTGCTTTATACGTTATTGATTTGTCTAATAAGCAAAAATTGACATGACTGAGTATCATATATATAATTCTCATATATATATTTGAATTTTCCGATATTTAATCTCTTCAATTACTCAGGTGATGACTTGTGGAGTTTCACAGCAACGAAAAGAGATGATCTCTGAAAATGTGCAGTGCAATGTTGATTAGTTTTTATTTTTAATATTTACTGAATGGATATCTTCCCGCAGAATTAGTTTTTACATTGAAAGGGGAGAGTGGAAAGAGAGTAATCAATTTATGACCAAAACAATCCAAATACTGAATCACACGGTTTTTTATATTGACACAGCGGGAGTTTTTGAAGGCTTCAGAAATGGATTCCCAATTACGAATTCCATAAACTAGACGACAACGAGAATTTTGAACTTTTTGTTTCTTTTTTTATCTGAATCAGATTATGACCCATATATGAAGTCACAGTATTGGAAGAGACTCAGCACTAAACGATCAGGAAGCTTTTCTTTAGAGATTCGCTCAAAATAAAACGACTGCAGTATAACAGTTTCATTGATATACAGGCTTTTCTCACAATAATCACTGAATTTCATTTTTCTTGAATAGCGATGTTCTAGGTGTCCTGAGTTGAACCGCAAAACGATGAGCAGTCACAATCCGTCGCGTATTTCTGGTATTTACCGCTCTTGGTGGAATCAAAAGTGCCAAGAGAGACACGAGTGCCAAGAGAGGCAACCAACGTTTTTTCGATGTTCCAGACTATCGTGGTTGCATGTGACATCACTTGCAACCTGATAAAAATGCCGTTTTTTCCGCATTTTCATCAACACCAAAAATATCGAGTAAATGTTCTTGCTTTTTTTATAACTATTCAAGTAAATACAACAAATTAGGTATCACTGGAAAGAGAATTTTGTGCCCTTTCGAATGATATATCACTCAACCCCACCCTCGCTAGGGGGTTGAAGGCACAGGTGGAAAAATACATCTAAAATGTGTCCCCTTCAAAAGCAAAATGGACCTGTCCGAGCATTTTTGCGTTAAGTTACAAAAAAGGAGAAAAGCAAGGTGCATACTTTTCGTTGGATCACTCGATATGCATCCATGGATGATAGAATAACTTCCTTGACTTCAGAAGCACAAGTTGATGGATCATTAGAGCTGAGACCTGTAGTTGAACCTGCAGGTTCTTGATACTCGATAGATTCACATTCGAGTGGTTTTGCATCCGATGAAATAATCGAGATTCTCATCATCATCAGAAGAAACTACTGTCTATGTTGTGGTACGCCAGAACACTTTTTTGCACTACTCTCATTCATTATCGCCATTCAGGCCTTCGTCAGTAGTGTCATCAACACCCATCCAACGCTCTCTGTTATCCCATCGTTTGGGAGTGGGTCCGGACAACTAGCAAGATTCTTTCCACTAACTCAGTTTACTTCCAACAACTGCCTGCATTCATACCGCGCGCAGAACACTATCAGCTCATTAAAAGGAAAATTTTCCTTCGTCTCGGGTTTCAGTTAAGACGCCGAATGTTCCATTCCGTTCCTTCATTAACGGCCCACGCAAGTTTGCTCGAATTTCTCTCGCTCTCGATGTTTTCTAATTAGATTTGTTGTCAACAATTTCCTCAATAATGAAGTAAATTACAGAAGTACTCCTCTCTTCGTTAACCCTAACTACATGCAACAACAAAATGCGAGCAACCGTAGCATCGAGTAACAAATGGAAAGAAGTCGAGTAATTTGGGGGTGCACCGTTACATAATTTTAGGGCGGCCACGTCAAAGACTGCGGATCTACAAATTTCACAGAATTTGAGTTGATTATTATGTCGCGAGTCGGGAAGGATCGTCTTCAACGGGATTTGCAATGATTGCTTAGTGGCAGAGGATTGTTCCCAGATACTATTAGTAGTATCAGACAGAGTAAGATTTGGGAAATTGGTGTCGATCCACCCAGTGATACAGTGTCTCAGATTAATTGTTCTCATCAGTTATTTGATTTGTTTCAAGGACAAAACACAAACACCACAGGAAAATCTATAAGGCGCAGTGCTTGTGCCAACGTAGCGATTTACGTTGACTATGCATCGCTGGAGATTGAATTTATTTGGAAAAACGGTCTCAGGAAGTTAATTCCATGTAAACGCAGTTCTCCAAATTTCTGATATGTACCGCTCTTGATGGAATCAAATGTGTCAAGTCACTTGAACACCTCCCGTGGAAGTAACTATAAAACAGAGGCAAATCTCCAACCTTCCAGACTATCAAAGTTGCAAGTTATGAACGTGTTTCCAATCAGATGGATGGCTCGTTTCTGGATGGACCTCAGCAACTGAAGGGTATGCTTAGGAGTAGAGTTGATCCAAAGAAGGCATGATCTGAGTTTCATAAAGCATCAAAAGTTGCTGAGGTGTGTACAGTTTTCTGGTTCGGAACAGTGTTCCAAGCATTGTCTGTCCTGACATTATTGTATCCGGTTTGGGGACATTTATCTTTTTGGAGAAAACCGATGCTTGGGTTTCTGAGGCATTGAATTGAATCTGGTTAGTTTCACCTCGATTCAAAATCCCTTCTAGATCCTCATTGAGATATGCACACTCCTGCTGACGGTGAAGATGTGCCTCTGCAGCAGATGTGCTGGAATCAGAAATGGAATGACGAGACAAGTGTGCTGTCGTCAGCACTATATTTGATTCCTGATTTTTTCAAGTAAGTCGTTGATATACAATAAAACGAATTCTTCTGGTTTATCCGATATGAAATTTTGGTTAAGAACTACTACTCAACTAGTATACCACCGATCTATTCGGCACTATAGTTTTATTTTTATTGTTTTTGATGGATCCACTCAAATTATTCTTGGTTCCGTTGCCTACGTCCAATTCTTTGCTTTTCAACGAACGAGTGATATTATTATTAAAGATAATAATAATAATTTTCATTTGTAGTTCCTTTTTACATATAAATACAATAATTATTCAATCTATAGAAAATAAAAAAACTACAAATGAGGTTAGAAACAACATGTACAGGAAGGGTACTGTTGATCTCAGTTCTAACTTTGAAGAAAATTAAACTGAACTAGAGAAAAAACAAAGAAAAAAGAATAGAAAAAAAGGAGGAAGGAGAGAAAAGGAAGAGGGAGAGAAAACATGTTGAATGTTATTACTGAAAATTTTTCAGAAGTATAAAATATATGAAAGCAATGACTTTCAGATTGAGCAGCGATGAGATATTTTTTGTAACAGCACTCAAATAAATGAACTTTACTAACTTTATATTTTTTCGGAATATTATTATGCAAACTATATATATTATGACTAAACGATCGTTGATATAGAGTGGTTCGATGAGGCGGAGGAGAAAGTGACCCTTTAAACCTCAAATTTAAAGTACATCGCTACTAAATCATATCGTGTTATACACAATAAAGTGTGAAACACGTCTATTTTCCATAGTTAACCAATTGCTTTTCGTTAGTTTATATGTTATATTTTCTAATACCATATAAATACCTAAGACATGATTTTTGAATTCAGTCAAATCTAAAAAATGTCCTTTTTATCCAGGCATGAACCATACACAATATGGCAATATGCAAAATGACTCAACACAAGTGTATTTGTTAATTTTATTCTCAAACTTATTGATAATAAGATACATTCATTTTCTCAAAGATGATAAAATATGTTCAAATTGAAAGGGAATATTTCAAGGAGAAATTAATTTCAGGGAGAAACAGTTTTTAGCCTTCTACTTCTCCATCTTGATACAAAAAATGTGGGAATTTTTCAAAGAGAGAAGGGCGCCAATCAATTTCGAAAATTTTGTGTAGGAATCCTGTGAATAATATCTGATTCGATTCCATATAACGATCTTCAAAATAGCTTTTAATTGAATTTATAACAGGTTCAGAGAAACCGATGAAGTTCAAAATTGCAAATAAAATTGTATAACTAATGGTATCAAAAGCCTTGGAGGAAGTCTATAAATATTAAAGCAGTCGTGTTACCTTCGTCAGCAGCTTCAAAAATATCATCAGTTATTTTCAAGAGATCAGTTGTACAGCTGTGTTCTTTACGAAATCCTGACTGGTTGATTGGTTACTTATTAATGGAATTTGAAAAGCATTTGATTTGAAAAGTCATTATTTTTTCCAATACTTTTGAACAAGTAGGTAGCAGCCAGTATTTGAGAAATCTTCCACATTCCAGAAAATATATTATTTTGCAAACATGTATTTATTATAATAGTGAGCTATGATAGTATTTTAGGACAGCAAAGAAGTAGTATATCTATATTGATTCCATCTAAACCTATGACTCTTGTTTATTAAATTACTCTTATCATAATTTAATAACTCATTACTAGGTACAAAATGTTAGTAGGATAACCAAAGTAGGTTAAAGTTATTTACTGTTCAGTATCTTTCTTTGGTATGTTATAATGAATTTTGGTATGTTATTATGAATTTTTATCAAGTATCAGCCAGTTCTATTACATTATTTCACAGCTTCCGGTCACAATATGATTATTTTATGAAATTACAGATTTTGCACATCGGAAACTTTTTTCTCACTCTCACGTTGAACTCTGTATGCAAATAACGATTGTTTCAACTACTTTAGTCACACAAACAATGAAGTCATTCTCGCCGATAATTGATTAGATCAAAAGAATCACGAAAATCATATGAAAGTCCTCTTCACAACAAAGCATACTAAGCACGGCAGTTCGCATTTCTAGTTTCGAAGTGAATCTAGAACTTTCCCAACTGTTTGTAAACTGATTTCCTATGAGAACACTAGTTTGAAATGAGTCAATTTAGTAGTTGGCCAAACTCAGTAATTGAAGTTATGTAAAGCAGTCGTGCAGAATGTCTTACATGTAATTTGACGGAATTCAGTGCAGCCATCCTGACCGTGAAGGTGAAGCGATAAAATACTTGTTGATGGACTTAATGGTGATTGGTTGTGGTTTTTGTTTGCAATTAGTTCCTGGGTTGGTTCAGTTGTTCTGCATATAGAGATTTCCTTCGCAAGGAGGAAATTTTCAGGACCATTTTGTGAATAAAATTCATATGATCAGAAGTCTATGAGATTTTGAAGTTTGAAAAAATTTTGATATACGATTATATTGCTATGAATCCCGTAGGTTGGAATGAAAAGTTGGTTGACTTGCATAAAAAAAAAACTAATTGTTACAGTTTACTGTGTGATTTTCACCATAAATGGTTTTACAAAAAACGCGACACGTGTTGCGGTTTTTGTAAAACCACTTATAGTGCTAATAACACAATAAACTGTATTAATTAGTTTTAATATGGATTTTCAGCAAGTATCGGGCAGTTTCGAGGGAGAGGACGATTATAGCGGTCATAAAATTTTTCGATACCATTTTTATGGCATAATTTGTCTTCAGCCTCAAAATAAGCCTAATTTTTTTGAAAATAATTCATATTTGATAGAAATATTTACATTGTATATTTTTGAAAGTTACAATTGATGTACTTTGCCCACGTACAAGTCTATACAGTGATTCTCAGGTTACGTTCATTTATATTGAGTTAATGATGGTCAGTTTATTATACTTTTAAGATTTCACAATCCACACCAGATTGGTATTTGATTAATTTATTTTTATATGTATATATGTATATATATTTTTGTATTCTCACACACGCATATTTCTTGCTGTAAACCCGTTTTTTAAAAGCAATAAAATTATTATTATTATCACTATACACTGCTTTTCTTTAATGCTCCCCACTCTTTTATTTTTTTGAAGGGGTCAACTGAAAAAATTGAAATTTGGGATAATGAAATTAATACATGAATACTTTACTTTGAAGTGAAATTGACAGATGAAAATTTCAAGATGGCGACTGAAGCTCTTGACAAATGCTTCACAACCCTAGAAAATAATGTCAATATCTCCATCTACTACAAAATGGCGGAACTTCTAATAATTGCCTAAATACATTGACATTCAACTACATAACATGAGGTAATAAGCTTGAGGTCGAAATGGTCGCCTTGAACTTCTTAACATACGAACAGCCTATCCGATATTTCACGCGAACATTTTCGAATACAGTAACGTCAATATCTCTTTCAAAAATTTATTATTCTCTGCCGTATATCCAATATTGAAGCAGGTTCAGTTACGTACACCTTTTGCTTCGAATACACCCATAAAAAAAATCCAAAGGTGTCAAATCTGGCGAGCGGGATGGTCATCCCCAACGACCGGGAAGTGTAGTATGCAAATAGTTTCTTACTGGTCTGGAGTAATGCAAATGCAGCAAATTTAAATACAGTTCCCCTGTTGAATTTTGATCGATAAATAGAGGGCCGACAATATGCTTTCCCAATATTCCTACCCACGACGACGCACGCGTTCGCGTTTGTTTCGACCGTTTTTCGTGCATTTTCGATAATTTTGCGTGCGTCTTGGATCATTTTTCGTGTGTCTGCGATCGTTTTTCGTGTGTTTTCGATCGTTTTGCGTGCGTCTTCGATCGTTTTCGACCGTTATACCTTGCTTCTGTTACTTGAATTTCCTGTGTCACAGAACCGGTGTTGTGCATCTACTGATACATTCTCAAGTTATCAGTAGATTATAGCATCGTAAGTTAATAAACGAGAAGAAGAATGAGGCTCCAGATGTGTCACTTGTGACACTCTTGAAGTTTAATGAATGTAATTCTGCATTATATAAGAGAAAACGTATCATTTTCGTGAAAGATTATGAAACGTGATATTCCAAAAACATACTCACCATCCACCTTGCCTTGTGAGAGTGAAACCAAACCTTGATTCCTTATCAACGGAGACTCTGATGCCAACAATTCCCAGTCCCTGCGGTGTTACCACTTGACCTCTCATAACTGCAACTCGGCTAATGAAAAAATGTACGATTAGAATTTTGAATTCGAAGCAAGAAACAATGCATCGATTATTTCTTGAAAGTTTCTGGATCTACTTGATTGAAAAAGGCAACAAGTGGATGCAATACTTGGTTCAATGGTTTTTGAATGCGTTTTCAAATGCTTCTGAAGAATTTGGAGTATTATTAAGTCCATTACTATTATTTGAAGGTAAATTCTAAAAATTATAATTATTGCAATCTAAACAATATTAAAAGAAAGGGTGCTCTGTTGCAAAGGTCCTTATGAAGTCAGACGCAATCTATTAAAGCTTATGAACAAAGATGGTACCTTTATATGAAATAATAAAGGAATATTTTCATAAGAGATACTTTTTTTAGAAAAAAGGGCTTTCCTTTCCTTATTTTTTTCAAAAGTGTAATAAATTCATGCAAAGTTCAAATTGGTATTCAATGAACTTTTCTGCCAACGACATTTTGATTTTCTACAGATATGCAGGAGAACTACAAAAAGTCAATCATTCTGAGGATAGGAAAAACTTCAAAACCAGAAGTAGGTTACTCCTTTCTATGAGGAAATTCAACAAAGATAATCCGTCAGTAGATCTCTGTTGAATACAATAGTTCATACTCGAATGAAAGTTAGCATCATCAGGATGATGAAGACTCCTGGCAAAAATTGCAAACTTTTCTTTTTGCTGGTTAGGAAGAGTTTTTGAAATGAAGTAGAAACGATTGTCTACCAAAAACGAAATAATTTCAATATGGATGAATACAGAAGCTAATAGTACCAGAGAAATGATCGGGAGAGAAAGAAAGCTGATATTAATAGAGGAAGGGTATAATGAGTACGGTGGAGAGTCATTCTTTCGAGCGACAGTTTTTATTGCTTTGATTGTAAAAAGCAAAAAATGATATTAGTTACAGAATCCTGATGCGGTGAAATATCCATTTTTGAATGTATGTATTGAATGAATATGTCATAGATTTGACTTTCACAATTGATTATGAAGAGCAATATCGAGTTAGTTCAATCATAATGAAATAATTATCCATAGTTTTAGTGACAAGAGAACCAATTTACCAGAAATGTTTTAATTGGTCGGATGGGGTGATATATCCATATATGGTAATATTGAAACTGGCATAAATCTTCATAATAATCTTATGAAATTGGAAACTGGTCTGATTTATTGGCACTGATTGAGTTTGGCAAAATGCAGTACATACGGGTATGATATGAACTTCAAATTTTCAAAAGTACGAAAATAGTTTTGGAAAAAGAAAAAAAAGGTTGTATCCACTTGCTTTTTCTAATCGATTCTTGATGGTAGTATACCAGGCAATCTAGGATGGAAAATCACATAACGAACTTCCAAAAAGAAGTAATTTCTATCGGGTATAATAATAGAAATACAGAACTCGTAATTGAATATTAATTGTCTATGGTTTTCTTTGCCAGGATAGCCCTGTATACAATATTTTCCGGAAGATCAGTCGTATTTACTGAATTGAAATGAAACGCTCGTTGGGATTTTTTCATTTTTCCATGAATGTACAAAAAACTGAATTTTTCAGAAACTATTCATATTGATTCAATCATCATTTCTCACAGTTCTCAAGCCTCGCATTGGAAAAAGAATATAAATTAGCATGTCTTAGAAAACTTAGTTTATAGTTATTATTCGGTAATGAAGATCCTCTATTATCAATAAGTTTTTCTTCAATGTCAGAAAACAAATTGAACTTTTTGATTTTGTCAAATTCTCGATATTTCTTGAAATAATTATAATCATTCAAAATGGGAATTGACGAAGGATTTGATCTACATATCCCGGCAAATATTTTTAGTCCAAATAATTGAAACATAATATATTTGAGAGCTGTAACTCCAACATTGATTTATATGTACGTTGAAAGATCTATTGAATTTGGTTTACGATTGTTTAGAATAAATATTCTGTTGATTATTCTAGTTGCAGCAATATGAGAAATATATTTATTTGGTGAACAATAATTTCAAATAAAAAAGAGTCTTAATGATATTTATGTCGACACTCCAGAAAATTTTCAAATTCAATTCAATTAATACTGGACAGATCTGTGTACTCATTTCATCACGAAATTCGATAATTCAAACAAATCCCGTTAATTTTGAAAGTGGATTGGAACATACAATGAAAATTTTGCATATATCAATAATTCCTCTGAATACGTTGGTCATGCATATAGTTTGGAAAGCTGGAAATATAAGCTCTATTTTGTTGTGAAAATAAACTGAAACCTCTCTGGCAATAACATAAGCATTGTTTTGAATGATGCGAATAATATCACTGAAGTCACATTTCAAACATGATTTCAATAAAATTCTGAATGAAGCGTTGTTCGATATATTTTCACAGCAAAATCACTGTGCAGGCAATTTGTTTTACCACTACTCAGTTCCAAATCATCAGTAATGATAGATCGAATAACATCCACCATCTATAATCTAATATATGTGAATTTAAAGTTTCTCCAGTGGAAACGATGGATTATTTCTATGGACTCTCTGTACTTACAGCTCCTCTTAGGCGATCAAAAAACACTTCAATTTTCAGAAAGTACTTACCAGAATTGAAGCAGTTGAACTCAAGATGCTGAAGATTCAACATGTAACATATGAAAATAAATATGGGACAAAATATAAAGTTTCTAAATGAATACTTAAGCCTTCCGGTTTCATCGAGACTTGATTGTAATAGGTTCACTTTCATCTATGTTAGTTATCAGGTGTAAAACATTTCACATATAGGTACGTAAAGAGTTTATCGCTCCACTGAATGAAAACTATTTCATTCAAAAGCAGTCATTTCCCAAATTTCAAATTTATATATGAAAGATTTGTCTTGAGAAGAATCACAAGGTATAATATAGAACTAACTTCCTGATCAGCAGATCCAAATTATCAAATTCTTTGAGTACCTTTTGACTTTTGGGCATTCAATTCAGCAATTATGGAAATGAATATGATTCAGCATACATGTAAATAAATTACAATATAAGAAAGATTAATATCCATAATATATCGATAACTTAAAAAAAAAACAAAAACAATCGATTGAACTTCCATTCTTCCTTATATCTATTACAACAACTGAGTTGTTAGATTTTTATATATCTTGGTAGGCCAAGTGCAGTACGTTATATTTTTATTTCTGCTACGTTAATAATTTGAAAATTACTAAAATTGTTATTGGCGAAATTCGTTTCCGTTCGTTAAAACGCTTCGTTAAAACGAAGCGCTCTATCAACAATCATTAACGAATAAAATATCCTCAGAATAGTTCAGAAAATAGTCCCTTACTCTTTGCTGTATGTTTAATGAACATCCTGTATATTTATTTTGAATATTTTTCGAAGGGAAGCTGTGGAAAATATTAATAGAAAAATAATCTGATGATGTAATGCAAAAATTTCGAAGCGAAGACCTGAAATTGTTACTTTCAAACAATAATTGCTGAATAATTGCCCTGAAAATATTGAATTTGTCTTTGTGAAAGTCAAAAGTTGTATTGAAAGATTTGTATTCTTAATTTGATATAAACCATACAGGAGTTTGGTAGAATGTCAAGGAAGAGGTACAATTTGAGAAACAGACGTATCTACTTTTTTAGTATGACAGTATATTTTCATTTCTGATTGGATATTTTTGAATTTTCGACCCAACAAACTAGTCGTGGAGACCTAGAATCACTCGAAATATGATTTGAAAAATATTGTCATTGGCAACACAGTACTGATGAAAACAAATGTGTTTATGGGTCACTTCGTTGACCTCAGTCATGAATAAAAGTACTCATAGAATGTATGTTTAAACTTCGATTTTGGAGGCAAACGCGTTAGAGTTTTACCCGCATCTCGTAGAGGTATAAAAGTCATATGCAAACACTATACAACACCCCCCCAACAAAATATAAAGTTGTATTTATACTTTTGTTCAAAAATCTAGTGACTATGGACAATTTTGCGTTTTTGGTTGCCACTGGAATTATTGTTACAAACGTGCTTTTTCTACAGTTCGGTGTCAAAATAATCCTAATCGGTGCGAAAAATGAAGAAGATTCAGAAACTGATTGGTATCACATGACATATATCTTGAACGAGACGTCAGATTTCGGTAATTCTAGAAATGGACTAATTTTGACTTCTCATCTGAAATATTCCTTGCGGGTAATAAGAAAATTATTTCACATCCTACCATTCAGTTGTTTGTGGAAACAGATGAAATTTGAATCGAAGATATACGTCGTTGAAGCCGATACTTTTGGTTATTGAACAATTGAAAATCACTTCCGATTTGACCAGAAATGGACCACAGAATTTGAAATGGAATCCTCTATCGATTATTATCAAACCATGAGTTAGAAAATGATTTTTTTTCCCAAAGTGATAACAGAAATGGATACGTTTTCTATTCAAAATGACAGCGTGGAAGACATTTTCTCTAACTCGATATGACCTCAACTATTGACATATTGTCAAATTACTTGATGTAGCGAGAACAAGAGACGAAATCTACTTAGATATAAAAAATATATTGGAGATTTTCTCGCCAATTCACGTACAACAAATGTTTTTTTAAACTTCATCTATTAGGTGGGTAGAAAAGTTCGTTGGCTAACACACAGATGGCTCTACTGGTATTGAATTCATATGATTTCTAGTCAACCCTAACCTTCAAAATACTCGTGTGAAAAATTCACAGCTGTTGGACTATTGGTTTATTGAATAGAATATTTTGAGGTCAGTTTGAAGAAAATGGATAGAGAAGAATTTCATGTGTTAATGAAACAAGTGGTTTGCTGAGTTAAAACGAAGTGAAAGTTGGTCGAGATAGCTGAGAACGTGTTGGACATATCGTGTATGAAAATTTGGGTATGTCAAAGCTCTGTTCCAAGTGGGTGCTGCGCGAGCTCACAATTGACCATAAACAACCACGAATTGATGATTCTGAGCAGTGTTTGGAGCTG